GAATTACTTAAGCAAAAATCGAGAATATAAAAAATCGGTGGGAGCAGAAAAATACGAATCTTTCCTAAGATGTTCCCTCTCTACGACCCTGGTATCTAAAAAAGTACAACCTCCTGATTTTACTATCATGGTGGTGCTAAAAACTGTTGGGGACTTTAACGGGTGTAATAGCCGAATGTTTGATGCAACAAGAGTTTTTTGGGGACCGGCCTACAATTTGCGTTATTAGACCTGAGTTTGTTTTGGCACATTTGAAAATATATCTTCTGCTTCGTGCAGCATCAAACTGAGTAAATTTTTTGTGTGCGCAAGCTAAACGGCACGCACGCTAGTAGACCGGTTCCCAGAAATCCTCTTGTTGCGCCAATGAATCGACTCTTACATTTTCCGGCTCTTTCCCATGTTCAACCCATGTTTGACTGTGTTCAGTTAAAGCCCTTGTTCGTTTACCCTAGTTTCTGACGAAAATCGGACATCGTTTGACCATTTTGGTCGAATCATGACAAGAGCACTTCAGCCCGGGGAGTTTTGATACTTTTATTATGAGTCGCAGAATAGAGCATTCTGTTCATTACCGCTGAAAATCACTCTGAAAAGCAAAAACAATCAGACCTGTTTTTCTCTAGGCCGAGACGTTTTTTTTTGAAATGTTTGTGTAGAATCAAACCGTATTTGCCGCTTTTAATTCTCACTACCACCTCACACGAGCATCCATTTAATGGTGTAACGAGTGGTTTTACAAGGTTAATTATGAAGACCAATTACATATTTGATTGCCTTATTAGTCAGTATGAGAATTTTCATAGCAATCGGACATTGAGAACAGTTCTTTTACTGCAAAAAATTTGCAGGTGGGGGGAAAGGAAAAAAATCTCATATTTGACCTATTGTAAGCTTTTTCTGAGATACCTTTGAACTTGGCGCGAATATGCGCCTTCCACAAAAATTTCTCTAAACTGAAAGTTTCTCTATTCTACCCCACTGTTTGTGATTGCCTTGTTTCATTATTTTTTCTTGCTTTAACAGGTCTTGTCTGACCTTGATTTACGTTTAGCGAGTTCAAAAATATAGCGTTTGGATCTTGTTAAATACCCCCCTATGGAAATTTTGTAACTGTGTTAACTGTTTCCTCCCCTATTACAATAGTGGGGATTAGTTAACAAGATCCTAGCGTTTTGTTAGAAACAACACACAATTTATTTGAACTTTATTGTTGACTTTTCATTTTTTTACGCCTAGTTCATTTATATCATTACAAAGTTTTGTCCTCCCCCGACCAGGTACAAACAACAATTTTACTGAAATATCCTAGTTTTAACGTTGGTTATCAAATGAAATGCCAATTTCCGTAAGATTTTAACAATTGATTTACTTGGACAAAACGTGAAAATAATAAAAATCGATGGGAGCAGAAAACTGCGGATCTTTCCTAATATGGTCGTCGTCTACCACCCTGGTATCTAAAAAGTATATCCCCTAATTTTACTATCATGGGGGTTTAAACTGTAGGGGACTTTACCTGGTTTAATAGCCGAATGTTTGATGCAACAAGAGTTTTTTGGGGACCGGGCTACAATTTGCGTTATTAGACCTGAGTTTGTTTGGGCACATTTGAAAATATATCTTCTGCTTCGTGCTGCATCAAACTGAGTAAATTTTTTGTGTGCGCATGCTGAACGGCACGCACGCAAGTAGACTGGTCCCCAAAAAACCTCTTGTTCCACCAATCAATCGACTCTTACAGCTTCTGGCTCTTTCCCATGTTCGACCCATGTTTGACTGTGTTCGGTTAAAGCGCTAGTTCGTTTACCCTAGTTTCTGACCAAAATTGGACATCTTTTTGGTCGAATCGTGAGACGAGCACTTCAGACCGGGGAGTTTTGTTCACCTGAAGATTGTCTCCTGTTTGGTGGATACATCCAACAAGTAATAACCAGAGAAGAATGGGGGGGAATGAGGTTAACTTGGTCTACGGCGGGTGGAAGGAGGTTAACTTGATCTGATACTTTTATTATGAGTCGCAGAATAGAGCATTTTGTTCAATACCGCTGAAAATCACTCTGAAAGGCTAAAACAATCAGACCTGTTTTTCTCTACACCGAGAAATTTTTTTTGAAAATTTTGTGTAGAATCAAACCGTATTTAGCGCTTTTAAATCCCACCACCTCACACGAGCATCATTTTAATGTGTAACGAGTGGTTTCACAAGGTTAATTATGAAGACCAAATACATATTTGATTGCCTTTTTAGTCACTGTGAGAATTTTCATAACAATCGGACATACTGAAGAGTGCTTTTTTGTTGTAAAAAATTTGCAGATGGGGGAAAGGAAAAAAGTTTCATATTTCATCTCTTGTGAGCTTTTTTCTGAAATACCTTTGAACTTGGCGCACATATGCGCCTTCCACAAAAATTTCTCTAAATTGAAAGATTCTCTATTCTACCCCACTGTTTGTGATTGCCTTGTTTCATAATTTTTTTCTTGTTTTATCAGGTCTTCTCTGACCTTGATTTACGTTTACCGAGTTCAATGTTATAGCGTTTGGATCTTGTAACTCTCCCCACCTATGGTACCTTGTAACGAATGTCTCCCCCCACCTCCTATAACGAATTGAACAATTAAGGGTATACAAATTTTGTAACTGTGTTAACTGTTTCCTCACCTATTGCAATAGGGGGGAATAGTTAACAAGATCCTAGCGTTTAGTTAGAAACAACACACAATTTAATTAAAGTTCATTGTTGACTTTTCATTTTTTTTACGCCTAGTTCATTTATATCATTACAATGTTTTGTCCTGCCCCGACCAGGTATAAACAACAAATTTACTGAGTTATCCTAGTTTCACAGAGTTATTATTTGACTTAAAAGTTGGTAATCAAATGAAATGCCAATTTCCATAAGATTTTAACAATTGAATTACTTAGACAAAACATGAAAATATAAAAAATTGGTGGGAGCAGAAAACTGCGAATCTTTCCCAATATGGTCCTCCTCTACCACCCTGGTATCTAAAAAAGTATATCCCAATAATTTTACTATCATTGGGGGCTAAAAATTGTCGGGGACTTTAACGGGTATAATAGCCGAATGTTTGATGCGATAAGAGTTTTTTGGGGACCGGCCTACAATTTGCGTTATTAGACCTGAGTTTGTTTTGGCACATTTGAAAATATATCTTCTGCTTCGTGCAGCATCAAACTGATTAAATTTTTTGGGTGCGCATGCTGAACGGCACGCACGCAAGTAGACCGGTCCCCAAAAAACCTCTTGTTCCACCAATCAATCGACTCTTACAGCTTCCGGCTCTTTCCCATGTTCGACCCATGTTTGACTGTGTTTGGTTAAAGCGCTAGTTCGTTTACCCTAGTTTCTGACCAAAATTGGACATCTTTTAGGTAGAATCGTGAGACAAGCACTTCAGCCCGGGGAGTTTTGTTCACCTGAACATGGTCTCCTGTTTGGTGGATACATCCAACAAGTAATAACCAGAGAAGAATGGGGGGGGAGGAGGTTAACTTGGTCTACGGGGGGTGGAAGGAGGTTAACTTGATCTGATACTTTTATTATGAGTCGCAGATCAGAGCATTTTATTCATTACCACTGAAAATCACTCTGAAAGGCTAAAACAATCAGACCTGTTTTTCTCTACACCGAGAAGTTTTTTTGAAAATTTTGTGTAGATACAAACCGTATTTGGCGCTTTTAAATCCCACCACCTCAGATGAGCATCATTTTAATGTGTAACGAGTGGTTTCACAAGGTTAAATATGGAGACCAAATACATATTTGATTGCCTTATTAGTCAGTATGAGAATTTTCATAGCAATCGAACATTCTGAACAGTGCTTTTACTTGTGAAAAAATTTGCAGATGGGGGAAAGGAAAAAAGCCTCATATTTCACCTCCTGTGAATTTTTTCTGAGAAACCTTTGAACTTGGCGCAAATATGCGCCTTCCACAAAAATTTCTCTAAACTGAAAGTTTCTCTATTCTACTCCACTGTTTGTGATTGCCTTGTTTCATTATTTTTTTCTTGTTTTAACAGGTCTTGTCTGGCCTTGATTTACGTTTACCGAGTTCAGTGTTATAGCGTTTGGATCTTGTAACTCTCCCCACCTATGGTACCTTGTAACGAGTGTCTCCCCCCACCTCCTATAACGAATTGAACAGTTAAGCGTATACGAATTTTGTAACTGTGTTTACTGTTTCCTCCCCTATTACAATAGGGGGGAATAGTTAACAAGATCCTAGCGTTTAGTTAGAAACATCACACAATTTAATTGAACTTCATTGTTGACTTTTCATTTTTTTACGCCTAGTTCATTTATATCATTACAATGTTTTGTCCTCCGCCGACCAGGTATAAACAACAAATTTACAGAGTTATCCTAGGTTCACGGAGTTATTATTTGACTTAAGAGTTGGTAATCAAATGAAATGCCAATTTTCATGAGATTTTAACAATTGAATTACTTAAACAAAACTTGAGAATATAAAAAATCGGTGGGAGCAGAAAACTGCGGATCTTTCCTAATATGGTCCCCCTCTACCACCCTGGTATCTAAAAAAGTATATCCCCCTGATTTTACTATCATGGGGGGCTTAAACTGTAGGGGACTTTAACGGGTTTAATAGCCGCATGTTTGATGCAACTAGAGTTTTTTGGGGACCGGCCTACTATTTGCGTCATTGAACTGAGTTTGTTTTGGCACATTTGAAACTATTTCTTTTGATTCGTGCCGCATCAAACTGAGTAAATATTTTTTGTGCGCATGCTAAACGGCACACATGCAAGTAGACCGGTCCCCAAAAAACCACTTGTTGCACCAATCAATCGGCTCTTACAGTTTCCGGCTCTTTCCCATGTTCGACCCATGATTTGACTTTGTTCGGCTAAAGCCTTAGTTCGTTTACCCTAATTTCTGACCAAAATTGGACATCGTTCGACCATGTTGGTCGAATCATGAGACGAGCACCTCAGCCCGGGGAGTTTTGTTCACCTGAAGATGGTCTTCTGTTTGGTGGATACATCCAACAAGTAATGACCAGAGAAGAAGAGCACACTGCCTAGCACCACTCCCGGTACACTGCTGCTCAACATCCCCCACCCTCCCAACGAGGCCTCAGTTGAGGGGGAGTTGGAGAGATCGAACAGGTAGTACGATTGAAGTCCGTAGAAGAAGGGGATAAACACCAAAGAATACCTGCAAAAAATATATTTTTTTATACTACAGATTGTTGTAAAATGTAAAATGTTTTACAAATAATTATTGTTTGTTTTTGGATAGTCAGTTTTTATGATTTCCCGACTTTGAACGTCGAGTTATTGGATATATTTTACTATTTTCCCCCTTTGGTACCTTGTAACGAATTGCCACCCGTTTAAAAAACTATAACTCAACGGTTAAGCATATGAGAGTTTTAGCACCAAGTAATGAATATCCCGCTTTTACAAAAGCGGGGGTTGGAATAGTTTAAGAGCTCCGAGTTGTTTTGTTCTCTGAACTCGTCACGGCGTGTTTGTGTGTGTGTGTGTGTGTGTGTGTGTGTGTGTGAGTGTGTGTGTGTGTCAAGAACGTTCGTTTGGCATCACTATTAAAACTGAAACGAAACCAGGCTGTCGCAAAATTTAAAAAACAGGTCAATTGAGAGGTGGCTAGATGTACCGCGACAACTCGCATTAAAAAGCAACTCTAAAGCAATTATAAAAACAAAGTTCCGGGAAAGCGATGACAACTCGCAAAGTATGAAAAAAATGTCGGCCGGTGGATAACCGACTCTAATTTTTGTATAGAGTACCACCCTCTGTCGGCATACTCAAAACACGTTGGCGCGACTTTGGCGGTGAGTAAATTGCGAGTTGTCTTTTATTGCGAGTTGTCTTTTATTGCGAGTTGTCGCATAACGTGCCATGAGAAGAATCGAATGTACAATCAGCCGATCTAACTGCGAACTCAGTACCATATGTTTAGTGCCTGCTATCACTTATGAAAGTACGATTTTAACTTACGTTAAGAGCAATAATGACGCTTATCTTTCTGATAAATTTTTCACAATCAAAACAAATTGTTTGAAAAATAATTTGGCTTTGAGCCAATATTACATTCAACTTCAGATACAAGAGCTAATATACATAGATATGGCTGTGGAAAAAAAAACGATCAACTTGACAGAACGATGCTTCAAAAAACAGAACAGTTCATCCTTCAACAGCTTGATCAACAAAAATTTATTTTTTGATAAATATTATATTTTGGGAATTTTATTAAGACAAAATATTCCTTACATTCATTTCTAAGACACATTTAGATAGGTCATTTCCAAAGCAGAGCTGTTACCTTTGATCATTTTACTATTGGAAGAGTTTCACGCCATCCAGTAGCTAAATTTCCAAAAACGAGGAAGATTCCTAATTTGAAACTATGAATGAGAACCTGACATACGAAATTGAAAGACGCCAAACGAAACAAATTTGACTTCGTATAATTGGTAATTCTACTGTATTACATACCTAGTAACCTGAGCGTAAGATTAATTAGTCATAATGTTAAATAGTACAGCAATTAAAGGGTCGAGCGCAAAATAGTTCGAATCTTCGAAGATATATTCCCTCTTATGCCGGAAAATAGAAAAACAACAAAATCGTCAAACCCTCCCAAAGGGAACTAAGGAAGCTCTTGCTATGAAACTCAAAGGGGCGCTACTAGAGATGATTTGACCCGGAGATACAAAAAACGGGACCTTTCAGACCCATGGCGGCAAGTGATAACGGTCCCCGGAAGTGTAAATGACCCTCTCAGAACTCGACAACTAGCGGCATTAGTGGGCTCAAAATTTGGTTTTTTGTAGGCCTAGTTAAGGGAAGCTCAAGTTTGCAACCTCAGACCCCTGGACCCCCGCTTCCGTTTTTATTCCCCCAATAAACAAACGCACCCCTACTTTCAGGCAGTCCATTTTCGGTCCCCTTTATTGTAAGGAGCTGAAACTCTTGGAGGGATGATGAGTAGTGGCAAGATTCATCTGATGTTATAATTTAATAACTTTCCAACGGTTGGATCGGAAGCTACTAGCTCTTGAAAAATTATCCCCTTAGACCGGAAATAGGCAATTGACGCAAAATAATGAGCATACTGATTTTATTGCGGCGATAGATATTAGATACGAACGCCGGAACAAGAATTCTTGTGAGTTAAATCACTCCGGCAAATCCTTCCAGTGTTAGTAGTCTTTTCGTGGGAAAAGCGATAATGGGCCTTAGAAATAGGATAACTTGGAAAATAGTAATGGTTTAAAGATGGATTATGATATGTAGGACCCCCATTGAATTGTAAACACAAACGCGGAAGTTTGCCCCGGGTGAACCCTGGGTGACCTTAAAATGACCTATGGGCGTTTTGACCCCGAAGTTGCATTGAAAGCCCCGGGATTAACACCGCAAAGTGGCTTATTCCCCAGCCCAACCCCTGGAAATAAGAATTGGTCACCTTACTAATTATTGGGATTGGCAACAGAAGCAGAAGCTGATAGCGATATAGCTTCTACATATCAACTTTGAAATACATATCCTCGAGGGGACAAGCTAAAAATAAGATTCAGCATAGCTTAGCGAATGATCTATTAATAGCAATTCAGCAACTAAAGAAAATTTTTCCCAGAGGAAATTGATAGTAATAGGACCACGGCATTAGAATTTAGTCTATTAAGTTGTAAGAACGGACGTATATTTACTTTTCTACCCGGAGTTGACTTTTTTGGCTTAATTTGATCCCAAATAGACAAAGTAATTTCCCCTAACAGCTAGAATGCCGGGATTGGAATAGATGATTGGTGGAAATATTATATGCTCAAAACGAATTGGCTTCCCATGAAAAGGGTCGGAACATTAACGCGATAATTAAATGAAGACCTTGGGAGGGTCACTGAATGAAAATAGCATGAGTTAGAGGTTGAGTTTAGCTCGAGTGCTGGAGTTAACGGAATTCAGGAATTGGTTGATTAGGATCGCATGACATTTGTTCGCGGGGTCGAATTTCGACACCTACCGTATACCGGATATCTTATAAGCATGAAGAGATTTATAAAAGAAACCAAGCTTGGCATGTGGCAGTTTTGATAGGGGGAGGTACGTAGTCATAGGGCATATGCGAACAAATGATTTAAATAAATACCAAGACAAAATATGGAATGGCTTGACTTAACTCAAATTAAGTTTAAATAAAGATAAGGAACTTGAGGGTTCTGGAGAGCCTTCGAGACTTAGATCAATTACGCTAAGAGAGCGAACGGTTAATTTTCAGTTGGATACAGAACGATTAGGCAAGCCGAGAGAAAGATTTTGTCAGTGGAGGACTTTGTTGCTTGAAGCAAGGCTAATTGTGTCTCACAGTTTTCAGTTAACTATTTTAGCTGATTTGAACCCAAGTTTAGTACCGGGTTAAAATAGTTGTGTAAGCGTGTTGCGCTGCTGAAGTAGGCGTGTTTGGAATTGCGTCGAGCGAGCATTGACGATAGAGTTGACGACGCAGTGGCCGAAGGAAGCGAAATGTGGGCTTCATTATAGAAATTGTTAATTAGTAGTTATTGTTAATTGCTTTTATTTCCTTTGCGACTGAGAACTTACTTATTGTGCCCAAGATTTCCTGAACTAGCTAGAAACGCAAGAAAAGAGCGGAAAAGAGCATAAAGCCAAGGAAGAAGTTGCGTAGTGCTTTAGTCGGCCATTTTAGTCTGACCACCAACATAACCCTTTCGGGATTATGCAAAAAATCGTAGTGTCGCCCGCAGTTACACGGAATAAAGGGTAGAAACTCTGAGGCCGTTAAGAAAAGTGAAAACGTGCTTAGAGGAGACGACTCCCGGAAAAGTTCTACGTACTTTACAGATATCGACTCGGATTGCAAAGTGACTCTTTTCATTCAATGAGGTTTTTTTTTCAAATTTTGAATTTATGCTCTGATATTTTTTGGTTTCTGAAAAAAATTGTCAGACCAAAAACTTATATTTACTTTTGCTATTAACCGTTTCGAGTTTTTCGATGAAACAGTCAAAAAATCATACACATGCGTAAAACATTGGATACTACGTAGCTTTTGTTTAATACATAGGCTGCGTATTATTTGCTTTTTTTGTCACCGGAAACTGAACCTCAGCCTAAAAAATCTGGGTTTGGGTAGCATTTTTCTGCTTCAATCATCTTGCAGTTCCAAGTTGTTTAAGGAGCCATAACTGCATTCGAAAATCAACCCGCGTTGACTTCAATAGACTGGAAGTGCGTCTCATGCTTTTTAGTATAATTTAAAATCATAGCAGTAAAAAATTACTTCAGCAGGTCTTAGTTTTTTTAAGTTAACCAGCTAGAGGCTTAGCTCGAAGGTTAATTGTTCAAAGTTACTTAAATGGCTATCTTCCAAGAGCTCACCCTGTAAATTGCAGCGCACGTGCGATTTGAACCCGCAATCATATGATTGCTGAGAAGCATCACTAACGATGCTCCACATCGCCACCGCTTTGGTTGAACAACCTCCATTCCTTCTGTAAGCCCGCAAAAAGAAAATGCATTTTCATCTCGAATTTGTTAAATATTTTACCTTTTTAATTGGAGTTGACGCATCGATGAGTTCAAAACAAGCATGTAATAATCAAACGAACTTATTTCGAAAACAATGTCGTCGAGACTTCTTGGAAGGGCTACTGTTTGAAACACGAATTTTCAAGTTTGGATGCGCAAAACTTTCACAAAAAAAGTTTCGCAATGATAAGAACTGTGACTAGAAAACCGTTCTGTTTGAACAAAAGTCTGCTTTCATGTCCCGCAATTGTTGATAAATTTTAAAACAACTTGAAGATTTTTTCATGATTCGACAAAATTTCCAGTCTTATTATCGAATTACGGAGTCAATCATACACGTTTCTGAGAAAATGTAGATTTTTTGTAGAGTCTTTAATACCATGGAAAAGTATTTGTTATTTTTGAAGAGATCTTCATTTACAATTTAGCAAGTCTTCAAGGATCTTCAAGGATCTCCAAGATCCTGATATTGTTTTTTTTAAACTGAGAAGCATCACTAACGATGCTCCACATCGCCACCGCTTTCGTTGAACAACCTCCATTCCTTCTGTAAGCCCGCAAAAAGAATATGCATTTTCATCTCGAATTTGTTAAAAATTTTACCTTTTTAATTGGAGTTGACGCATCGATGAGTTAAAAGACAAGCATGTAATAATCAAACGAACTTTTTTCGAAAACAATGTCGTCGAGACTTCTTGGAAGGGCTACTGTTTGAAACACGAATTTTCAAGTTTGGATGCGCAAAACTTTTACACAAAATGTTTCGCAATGATAAGAAATGTAACTAGAAAATCGTTCTGTTTGAACAAAAGTCTGCTTTCATGTCCCGCAATTGTTGATAAATTTTAAAACACCTTGAAGATTTTTTCATGATTCGACAAAATTTCCAGTCTTATTATCGAATTATGGAGTCAATCATACACGTTTCTGAGAAAATGTAGATTTTTTGTAGAGTCTTTAATACCATGGAAAAGTATTTGTTATTTTTGAAGAGATCTTCATTTACAATTTAGCAAGTCTTCAAGGATCTTCAAGGATCTTCAAGATCCTGTTATTGTTTTTTTTCTGAGAAATATCTGATAGAAACTGACCATGCATGCATGTATCCAAATCCATCTCTGGAATATCTAAAGGTGGCCAGAAAATCTATTTCCAAGTTCATCGCTTGCAACACATAGCAGAAGTGGAATATAGCCAACACCACAAATGCACAGTTGAACTGTCATAATATTTACAAAAATATTTTCAAATCGGGACAATACAACCAAGTTTCGACTGCAGTCAACTGTACAATCTTTAAAGTCATTTTTAAGAAGAAATCAAATATCCTCAGTGCTTTTCGCTGGAAAAAAATTCGACTGGATGAGCGATAAAGTTTTGTAGACTCAAACGCAGAAATTTTAGATTGATCAAATTCCTTTTCCGGGTTTTCTCAGTTTGCCCTAACAGTTTTTACGCTTCAGGCAAATTTTGATGAAGGTCGTTAAATATTCACCAGGTAGTCGAGCTCATGAAGAGAGGGGGCGCTCCTCTTCTTACAACAGCCACTCTCCCCTCCCCTCCCCCCATCGGAATAAATTGATTTTTTGTCCCTGTTAATGATATTGGATTTGAAAAACCATTAGATAAAATTGTAAATCCAAAAATTATGATTTTTTGAGTCCATTCGGATTTACTTTTTTTTTGCGAGATTCGCATTGGAATTTCACTCAGAGATGTGTAATCAGCGCTGCATGATTGAGCTCGTCCAGTTCTGATCTTCATTTTTTTGTGTTATAAGGTTTACAGAAAGTACTTTCAAATGACATTTGATGTTCTCAAATGAAATAAAACAAGTCAGTGTGAACAAGTGAACATATTTATGAAATATTTTTTACGTGCAACTACCTTATAAAGAAATTCTAGACAACTTTGTATTGTAATTTTACGGGAGAGAGAAAAACTGGAAAAAAGCCTGAGTTGTGCAAATGTGCAAATGAATTTATTGATCCCAATTTGAAAATAAATTGTCTTTTTTTCCTGTTGCGCTGCTCCTTCTTGACTGCTCCCACTGGACTGGAGATGATGAAGAAGAAGTAACCAATCACAGAACACCAAACCAATTAAGCCTGTGAGGTCACACAGTGTGTAGCAGTCACTCACTTTTTTGTTACGACTAGTTAGAGTCAAATTAAACAGGGTGCAAAGGAATTATGGTGCAGATAGTGTTTTTTTTTCTTCCCGATTTTGACTAACTCAAGAAAGGCTCCACATTGGGAAGAAAAAACATAAAAGGGGAGGGAGTCAAGTGTGATATCATATTAAAAAAATTTCAGCTGTGATTTCAATACCAGCAAAAAATCAAAAAGTTGTCTGTCCAGAAAAAATGATCCGATTTGTTCAGACCGAATTCAATGAAATTTGATGACACTACAAAAATTCGATGACACTCAGTTTTCTTCTTCTGTAAATTTTACGCCATTCTTACTATAATTTCTAATCTTCATCTAGATTTTTACCATGTTTGATTACCTTTTACTAATAAGAAAACAACAAAAAAAATTAAAAAAAAATCGTTCTTTTTTTTCCTGAATTTGCCAATTTTTTTCTCTATTTTTCTTTGAGTTTCGTATTTGGAACTTTATATGGTGGTCGGAACTTTTTGTGCTCTTTGCTTAGGATCTGGCTTGTTATAAATATGGACTTAATTTATAACCCTTCCGACGAGAAACCAGCCCAAAATCTACCTACATCACATCGCTGATATATTCTGAAAACCTCGGCAAATAATGCGTAAAGAGAAAAATTGGGGACTCTTCTCATGGGCGAAGGGCCGGCATGCACGAAAGTTCTCAGCCAAAATCAACGCACTTTAAACTGTACAAAACTAACTAAATTTATCGCATATTTTCTTTCAAATTTTGAAAACTGGAATCTGATTGATCGGGAAAAAAAATTCACGCATTCCGTCCTTCGCGTATGAGGAACTGTACAGAAATCGCGACCGAAGTGGGATTCGAACGCCCGACCCTCGTGTTAGAAGACGATACGCGCGTAGTGGATTGTAAAAGTGAGTGGGTGCCTGGACGGAGACAGAGGAATCTCTTCATGTCGATGCCTGTGATGAGGGGGTGGGTGGCCTTGCCCACGAAGAAGTTAAAGATCTCCAGACCTTCAATTGCATCCCCGCTCAAGTGTTCCGTCTTGAAACTACAATTACAATCGAATTTATTTTGAACAAGACTCCTTTGCACTTTTTACTGACCAAAAAATATGTTAGCAAGGTTTTTTTGAATTAAAGACAATTTTAAAAAATGGCTCTTTTCCACCCCCATGGAGTTTGAGTGTCATCACATAATAACACATAAGACAATTAGGAAAGGAAAATTTAAAAGGTGGGGGTGGAAAATTTTAGGACGAAAGAAATTGATCAGCTTGGGCTTTGAGTGGTTTTAACTACAGTTTTATGATCTTGTTGAAACCTTGAATTTGGAAAAAATTGTCAAATTTCTCGGCTGTACTGCGAGTGGAGTTGCTGCAGGGGGTGGGGGAATTTCTAGTAGAAATGATAAAAGTATAAAAATGTAAAAGATAAAGGTGTGCCTGTTGGTGTGAAGAAGGAGAGAGAGGGCGAATGTGAAGACCAAGGAGGCCACACACAGTCCCATCAGGTACTCGTGAACAGACAGCAGTGGAGACGCAGAGGGGAAGAGGAAGACCGGAAAAGAAAAAAAAATATTTCTTTAGTCAACAATCTTACAATTAAATTTTAATTTTTCAAGGTTAAATTAGTGCGCTCTAGTTAATAATAGTATAATGAGTGGCTCCTTTTCCTTAGTCCCCCCACCTCACATAAGCATCAACTTTATGATGTAACGAGGGGTTTTACAAGGTTCATTATGCTTACCAAATATGCTTGCTATAACAATATCGGACAATGTGAGCAAAAACATTACTAATGAAAATTTGCAGGTGGGGGAAGGAAAAAGAACCTAACAAATTGTTTTCAGTCTGATTATGAGCCTAAAATAATGTATTATGGTATGATTAAATAAAGCCCACTCAATGAGTCACGTGATCAAAAGAACCCACCAGGAATATGAGGGACAGTGAGACATAGAGAGCGAATACTGCATTGTGTCTGATGCACACATGTTCGCCCGTCTCGTTGTTCTCGTACCTGGCCAGAGCACCCACCGGAGCACCAGCCAGCACCAGTTGGAGACAGTACCAGCAGGACAACATCACAAACGCCTAAAAAACTAATCAACTAGAGGAACAATAGACAACAACTCCACCCCACAAAATAAGAGAAACAGCCGACGAACCTACTCAAAAAAACTCAAAGACATGTCAACTAACCTCTCTGAGAACAAGGCCGCCCCTACATGGCGCAGCCAGCAGCTCCGGTCAAGGACGACCGAACAGATATATTAGGAGTACCCGCATTTTGGCCCAAAACTACAACAGATCCACCCAGCAGTTGGAAATCTTGGATCGGTCTCTTCAATCTCGCAATAACTCTGCTGGAAATATAGTATACGCGCGAACTGCTAAAAACTCCGGGGTTGGTACATGATGACCCCGTAAGCTGGAGGTCGCAGGACCAAAGGAAGATGTGTCAGCTGAAACAAGTCGCTTAGCTCGCGACACCGCATCAGTTCGGAAAACAGTTGAACTAGGAAAGAAGAGCCAAATGCCCGAAGATCGCTCCCGGTGTCTATTTTTATGAAGCAGATCAAAGAAGAAAACCCAGGCTATTTTTCTCCCTAGGTACAGAGGGCAGAAAATGATTTCTTCAAAACTATCCCACACGGACGTTAGCGTAATCTCATTCAATGACTTTTTCGACAACTGCGTGTTACTAATCAAGAAAGAAAGAATTACTTCCTTGAACGATTAGAAGCCTAACTGCTGTCCACTCAGAACGTGAGAGACTAGACTTCTTCTTTCTGCGCCTGACGGGCCAGGCAGCTCCGTGCGGTTGGATGGTCGATCAAGAGAAAGAAGTAGTAAGGGACATACTTATAGCTAAAATGCGTTTGGAAGATATATAGCGTAATATGAAGATGTCCAGTCGTTACTCCTGAAGGTACTCTGAAGTCTGCTTTATTGCAAGAAAAAAAGAGCACAAATTGCATCCAGGTTGAAGAAACAGCTCGGAAAATTGGCACACTCCGGCAGTTCGTGCCAGCTGGGACCAAAATCCCCACAAAACTTTTGAATCAAGCAGAACCCACGTTGAAAGCAAGAAGCGATCGGTTAGAATCAATCTGGCAGTCAAATCCTAATCTTTCCATAGGTGGGAATTCCAACGAAGCAAAACCATGTTATTTTTGCTGAAACAATTTGATGCCGATTCATGAACAGTCCTGTGTCCAGCAAGGAATTAGACGTACCAAAAGTGTAGCAAAAAGGGTCATTTCACCAAATGCTGTAAACTAAGGATGTAGCAAACGTTGATGCAGAGTCAGACGAGACGACGAGGACGGTTGTAATTTTGTTAGATCTGACAGCGAATCTGAGTTTGCTGTTCTAGCTATCGACTGTCTCTCAAAACCCGAGTAACCTATTCCGACAGAAAGGGCTATTGTAACGAAACTAGAAGAAGATAAACGCAGTGACGGGTAAAGTCCGTTGTACTCAAATTACCTTTCGTTGCGCCAATACTTATTTTCAAGGCAACAATGAATACGGGCAGCCACCCTTCTTTTTTAAAAAACGCACAGCGGAATTATTTCTTAAGTCTGTCCCATCCGCCCTTATCCTCGATGAACACGACTGTTTAGTAGACGCAGTGTATGTTGACTATAACCAAAAAAGAGTCAAATTTATCGAAGTGCCGTCTCTTGGTTGGAACGTAAAATCAGCCCAGTTTCTGGTATCGGGGAGCCGTACTAGAAACCTTTTAGGTCTGGACCTCCAGTCAAAATTAGGAAACCGTACAACACAAATCAGACGGTAGAGTCCAATCGTGGGTGTAGTCACCCAGTAGAACAGAGCGAAATCTCTAATCACTGTATTTATTGCAAAAAAAATTTCGGACACATATTTTCGAGGTTGAACAAGGAAAAGAATCGGCAGACAGGAAAAACGTAGAAAGAAAACACGTAGTTTTACATAACCTTGTTTGAAAACACGTAGAATCTCGTGTTTAGGAAATATTGTAGTGGGAAGTATCGTAGTGTGAAATTTCATAGTCGAAATCATTTTTATGTGTCATTAACAATAATAGGTGTCATTATACAACAATTTACTTGTTGGTTTAAATACTCTACGTTAATTCACATAAGGTTATTTCCTACTACGCTATTTCCTATTAGCATATTTTACCCTGCGTTTTTTTATACTACGCTTTTCCGGTAAGCAAAGAAGCACCAAGTCTTCTCTAGGTTCAAGTCACCTCTAAATACAATACCAGAGAAAGGACCTCGCGTCCCGGTGCATATCAGGAGAAAGTAGTAGAAGATTTTCGTTACTCATAGAGTAAGGGCATATCGTGAAACTAATTAACTTTACAAGTGACAACTTTATTTCTTCTTTAAGAATTACGGTTTCAAAGGATGGCACGGTAAAGCTAACTATGGATGCAAAGCCCATCATTGACAAGATCAAATATAATCAACATGAGATTCCAAACCTGTCGGTACAATTGGACTCTGCTGTCCAATTTCTTACATCGAGAAAGAGTGGAGACGTGTGGTTCACATTTTTGGATCTCAAATATGCCTTCAGTCAGGTTAAATTGAGTGACAGAAACAGTAGCCATTGTATTTTTAAAATTGTGTGTGGTGAAAAAACAAGCACCTATTGATTCAAGAACTGTTTATATGGTCTTAGAGACATGGCCACAGAAATCCAAAAGGCAATGATCAATACGCTACAAGGACTGTCAGGAGTTTTCTGTTTCTTGGATGTTGGTCTCATAGTTTCCAAAGGCTCAGTAATTCAGCATAACCATTTGGTTGTGGAAGTTTTTGTTCACCTAGATGACGGAGGATTTGCCCTCAAACTGTAGAAGTAAAAATTTTCCCTAAATCAATTGTGGCGATTGGGATTTGATTTTGGTTCCGAAGTTTATAGCCCGAAGAGATCGAAACTACATGCAGGACTGACACTCAAACCACCCAAAACGGATCTAAACTATCTGCAGAGACTTCTACCCAACTGGTGGGTCCATTCCAACCAACTCCGCTCATATCTGAACGTCAGCAACAAGAATAAATTCGAGTGAAGCCAATATATAAAATTTTCTTTCTTTTATTGCTATCATTGCAAAAATGTATCACCACGACCAACATCGCAGGACTAGAGTCAGATGTTACGCTAGGCATAGCGGTCTGGGTGCTCTTGAAGAAGAAATCGAAAAGAAAGTTTGAGCACCGATCGGTTTTACTTCGCGTTCGCTAAATGACCAGGAGAAAAAGTACAGCACGAACGAACTCGAGTTACTCGCTAATGTTTGGTCTTGTGAGCATTTTTACAATTATCTATTGAAAATTAGTCGAGGTATTAACGCACCATAAAGCACTTATATCGGCTTCAAAAAGAAACATGGGAAACAGACCGATTTTTACCTTTCGAATTTAATATCGTCCATATCTTGGATTGTAAACTATGAATAGTGGATTTTTTATTATGTTTTCCAATTTCGAAGCTCGATTACCGAGTAGTTTTGGCGAACAATATGTGGTCAAAGGAATTAGCAAATTCTTCGACGCGTGTGATTTCCTAGATGGATGGGTCAAAAATCCATCAGCTAAAAGTAAACCGTCATGCATTCCTATTAATCACAAATCAGTTACCCCTCCCGCGACTTGTAATTCCATATCAGTCGTTTCCCCAACCAATTTCAATGCCAGCAGCCGATATAATCTTTGCCGTACATTATTCCCTATACTGCATATTTGGACCAATCAGGGGGCAGCATTCATACTGGCTCTGTGTTGCGAGAAGGCGTCAAATCTTATGGAGTTCTTTTGGTCCACTCAGATGCGTGTGCAAGTGTCTCATCGCCACAAGAGGGCTACCATTCGATGAATAGTTATTTCAACCAATCAGAAAAGAGATATTCACATGCCAAACCACCACTAGAGTCTTTATTCACAAAGTCTCGTCCAATCAGATTGCAGCATGTCTAATTTATTCACAATCACCACTTTCTCAGCATATTTCCAAAATTTGCTGCAACTTCATTTTTTTTACGCTATCAGTCTCAATTTTCGTTTCAATATTTTGCTAAACTTAGAGTTATCTGTCGCCTCTATCATTGCGTGTTAATTTAGATAATCAACAGTTGGAATGGGACCTTCTCATGGCAGAACAGCACAGAGAGCAATGTGACCGTGGTCCCAGACTAAAATTGGTCCGCAAAGGGCAATCCGGCCCATCGGTTTCCCCGTACTTTGGCGGCCCATCTACTTCAGTTGCAAAGACTTATTTTTAGAAGGCATTAAAAAACTTGGTCTAATCGCTATTCAGTGGTTGAATACCTTAAAGAAGACATTATCTCATTGCCTGACCAAAAGAACCATTTTCGATGCATCTCTGAGATCGCACGAACACTTAGATGCAGTCAGATGCCAGCTGAACACCTACCGACGTCATCGAGTAAAAATCGTAATTTGGATAAGGTAATTCTTCATAGTCCGGAAAGAGTCGAAACATCTCAAAAACATTTACTTAGGAAGACGGGAGAGAACTATTCAAACCTTTTAAGAGCAAAATTATCCGTCTCACAAATGAAACTTATTTCTCTGATAAGGATAATGTTGTAGGAAAAACCGCATTGCGGTTCACCTGATCTCAGCTATGTCAGGTTTTTCAGTCTACTTCTGGGAAAACTCTCGATACGTCACAAGCCAAGGTGCCATCGCAATCAAAGGAATCGATGTTGGCTGGTCCAGAACTTATCCCTATCTCATTGGAGGACGAAACTCAGTCCCATTTCTTCTATAACTTCTCCGCTAACTAAAACTGAGAAAACTGTTTCACAGGTGGATCAGATGAGGACGAGACCCATTCTTCGGCTTCCAACTCTTCTCGTCACTCCGTGAAAATGGTCAGTTCTCCGCCAGCTCAGCCGCAAGCCTCCAGCTCGAAAATCGGCTTCTCGGATAAAAGAGTTCGCTTTATGCAGGCTAGACCTGCTGAACAGGCTTCGCGTGACCACCCTCGCGCCAAATTGTTCCATCCTCAGGAGGGATTTTTGAGAAAATTCACCCGTTTTCCTCAGTCCTCTTCAGAAAACCCATTGCATCGAAATGAGAAATGAATTAAATCACCACTCAGCAACACAAAATGGCTCTAAGCTCTCAAAACTTATTTGCGCAAATCCTTCAAAACTTCTCAGTATTTTTCTCGCATTTCGTTTTAATTTTTTCCCTAATGTTCAATAATCTACATGAGTTTCAAAGTTTTGGGTCTTTTTTCATTCCGTTCATATGATGTTCCCTTGAGCTGTAAACGTGATGTAGTGATGATTTAATGCATACCATTACGTCTTGTTTATCTTGTTCAAGTTTGTCTCTATCTGGATGGTGCTGTTCTGTATTCTCACTTTCTATCATCTTATGAAAGATTTAGAATGATTCTAAAGATTTAAATTGTTTTGAATCGTACTACATTACTATCGTACTTGTTTTTATAATGCAAGATGAGTTAATGTCTTGATCTTAGTTTTCATTCAAAATCCTTGAGGTAACACAGTGTCTAAATAGAGAGAGCTAGATGATCATGATTATGATGATGATAAACTAATAAAAATATTCACTGACACTATACAAGCTGAACAGATTGTTCCGTTTTCCAACGATCCTCTTTTTGTAGCAGTAAGTGTTTGAAAAAAAATTAAGCACACAAAATCTTTAATTTCGTGTTGTGGAATTCAAAAAAGTAAAACTTTGCCAAACAAATGCGAAGCTCAAGATTTTTGTGGCGAAAGAAACACAAAAAGTGAAAGTTTCTAGAGCTCTGTTTTTAGGTAAACCAAATTGACTTTCAGACCCCCTTCGAAGGTTTGAACAAAAAGTGCGGCACTTCCCCCCCCCCCCCCCCAAGTTTAGTGTAAATTGGACTAAACTTGTCCTAAGCTAAAAGCTACCGTTGACTGACTAAAATTGAATTTCGCAAAATCGTACCAAAGGGTGTCGGGTAGTGAGGGGGTCATATTCGTGAAAAGGTTGCACTCCCCCTATAGATTTTTCGGATACAATAGATTCTTAAAGGTTTCTACCGAGGTCCTGGAAAAACTTTTATTTTGTCAAATTTTACCCCACCTCTCTTTTGTCCATAAAGAAAGTGTGATATGTGTTGATGATGAGTATGATGATGATGATGATAAACTAGAAAAAAGTAAGTTTCCAGTTACTGTACAAGCAGCACATGCTGTTCCATGGACTGTAGAAAATGGACAAGAGATGTTTTTGAAAAATGCGTCCCTGCGTTGACTTGCCTCTACGTTGAGGTATTCCAAGAGTCCTTTTTCAGACATGTCGCCTATGCAGAACAGTCCACTGAGCACTCCACAGCCGACACTGTTCTTGTAGGAAGATATCAGCACCACTGGCAGAATGTTCATCACGCAGATCAACATCAGAATTGCTGAACACACACGACAAATGAGAGGTAATTCCCATTTCCCAATTAACGCCTTTTTTGTACTTCGAAAAGACGCACAAAAAACCCTCTCCCACTTTACATACGCACAGGGCGGATCTAGGATTTTCTCAGGGAAGGGGGGCGAAATTTGTTACGATATTTTTTTAGGTTGATTGACCAATGACCAAATTGATTATCAGAGCTCTTCTTAATCACTATAGATACCCTACTTTGGCCAAATTTTGTTCGCCGCAAGCTAATTTTTGTAAAAACATGCCAAAAAGACGTTTTTAGGCACTTTTTGAAGATTCTGACCAAAAAATTGACAATATTTCTGCGCGCGTTTCCGCTTTCCCCTCAAAATTAACTTATTGGCGCCTAATTATGGCCTACTTATGTAGCCTAACTATGGCAGAATGGTAATTATGTTAATTGTTTATGGTAATCATTTATGGTAATCATTTAAAATCGCAGAAGAAGTAAGTTTGAAAAAGAGCCAATTGAAGGCTCTTTTTCCTTACCCGGGTTGATCTCCATGCACCGTAAGTTAAATAAAGCAGTCAAGAAACGTTTGTTTAGAGCGTCACAATTTATTTTTAAAAGTTTTTCTAACGCGCTTAAGCAAATGGGTCCGCCCCTAATACAGTTAATACAGTACTCGGGAGCTGCAAAATAAATGAGATCGACCTAAAAGGAGAGGCAGTGCCCGGATGAACTGGAGCAGAGACTGGATCACGTGAGGGGGAATTGTAAACAGCTCTCGTAAGTTGCTCAGAAGGTTCCGAAGAGCTACAATGAACTCTTTTTCTTTCGTCCTTCAATTGTATTTTTTCTACTTTTTTTGAATTTTCTTGTAGTTTTACAGTACTTTTAGTTTATTAAATCAAAAACTTTCATAAATGCACCATCGGTTCTGAGAATTCTGATTGTCACTTCTAAGTATATATTTGTTTAAATATTCGAAAAACTCAAAAAAATAAACGGAAAATAAAAAACAGTGTGGAAAAAGAGGCCTGCAATGATTCGTTCCCAAAGACCCTTGACGTCATAATCTGGCATCGAGGCCCTTCTGGGTCGCATCATTCCGGGAAGTCGGAAGGAGGGGTAGAATCTTCCGAACAATTTGGTCTCGGCTGGCACACAGTCGTCGCTGTTCCGCACTCTGCGTATCGAATAGCGACTCCAGGCTCTGAATTATGTCCCCCACCCCTCAGTTTCATTATGCCTAACTATTAAAATTAAATTTAATTTTTAAATGTCTTAAGTGCACAATTTAGGGAGGGAAAGCGCCTTCCACCCGCACCATACATTACCACCATTGCTATTATTTGTGATATAAACTTTTGGCGGAACTAAATTTGATTGCCCGATCTTTTACACCCATCTACTCTATGCAAATTTTTGAGTTCTTAAGTGTACTTCACATGGTCCAATTGTCATGAAGACAGGCATTTGAATTGTCTAACCAATTCCAAGCATTTTGTTTTCATATACAAGCTCTTAAAATTAATGATAATTCCACAAATTTGATTCTTTATTTTTGATAAAAATGGCAAGCAAAACTTTTTCAAAGTATTAACAAGGGACATCAAAAAGTCAGTTTGAATAAAAATAGCCGGATCCTGAGCACAGAAGGTTCCGACCGCATAAATTTAACTAAAACGCTTTTTTGTTCAAAGCTATGTTTTTTCTAGCGTGTAGGGAGGAGAGAGAGAAAATTTAGCCGGGAAAAATGTTCACTGGCTTCAGTAAGCTACACTTACCGTTTCATTTCATTGAAAAGTCGAAAAATAAACATTTTTCCAGTATTTCTGATTTTCATTTTCTTTCAAGTTACTTTTTTGAAGACTTCATTCTGTAGAGTGCTAAATTAAATTTCAAAAATTCAATTTTCAAGCTAAAATTTCACATTGAGCTTAAAATATAATTTGAACTCTACAAGGCTTGCTTTATTGAGCAAAAAATTGAAGCCAATTTTTCTCGAAAAAAAATTTCAGAGAAATTAAAATGTCACTCGAAATACGGTTATAAGGCTTTAAAGTGAAATTTTTTGAATATATTCTTATGATTATTTGTGGTAGCCAACTTATCAAGAAAAAAAGGAACTGAAGATTAACATAGCAAGCATAGCCGGTTGCTGTATAAGAATACCAGAATATTCTAACCACGATATTTACGAGAGAAAAACTAAAAAAAATTTTCTTGCTCAAAAATATACTCAAACTCAGAGTTTTGAATCATGACTGAAAACAAATCTCTGAGTTTGAGAAAAAGAAAAAAATAAGAAAAAACCTTGTTCTATTTGCGGAATCGAAACTCAGATCTGGAGATTAGGAACCTGGCAAATGCGTCATTTTAGCTTGGAATTTATCAATACTAGTAACCAATAAAACAGCTTCAATTTCCAATAAATAGTCAATTCTATGCAGTTAAAAGCCACCAAACAAAACTAAATTTTTTCTAGGTGCAAATGTGATATATCACTTGACCGGTTTTGATGATTGATTGGGTAACTGATTTTGCGTCAAAGAACATGAAAACTAAATAACTTCTGAAAACAAACTTTTGCTCCATTTTCAATATTTGAAACAAAAACTTTTTTCGAAGTTCAATTCTTCCTCCTCCTCCCGTGCAAAAATTTAAGATTGGTTCAAAGATAAAAAATGAATCATGTTGTTGCAGTTTTTTTTAATTCAGCCTAGATCAAGTGGAACAAGTATGCATGCAGAAATTTGAAAATTTTCTAATTTTTGTGTTGTCCTGAAACATGAAAAAGATCTTTATGTTTTAAATAACTCTACACAGCTGGCATATTTGACAAAAGCTAGCGTTTGTTTTTGCTAGTGTTTTGTCAGCAAAAATTTATTTGTATTTTTTCAAGTGCAATAACCACTAAAAACATAACGAATTTTGCCCTCAAGCTGGGAAATTTTTGAAAATAGGCACTTGAAACGTAATGAAAGCTAAGAGATCTAACTTTGGGCTCTTTTTAGCTATATTTCAGAATTCTATTTTCATAATTGTTATAAATGTTATAATGGCAAACTGCGTAGTGAATGTATGAAAAACTTTTGTTTACACAGAAGTGAAGCATAAATTTGCAAAAGTAAGCAATAAACTGGTAAAAAGTAGCTGCACAAATAGTCAAAAGTATTTCAAAAGTAACAAAAATTGAATCAGCAAAAAGAAAAAAATAAGAGAAAAACCTTGTTCTATTTGCGGAATCGACACTCAGAACCTGGCAAATGCGTCATTTTAGTTTGGAATTTAGTTTGGAAATTAGCAACTAAAAAAAAGCTTCAATTTCTAATAAATAGTCATTTCTATGCAGTTAAAAGCCACCAAACAAAACTTAACTTTTTCTAGATGCCAAAATCAAATCTCTGATCCAAAGATTAGGCGCTTGATATCCTCTTATTTGCTCGACAACTGCCTGAAAGTTTGCCTACACTAGCCAGCAATAAAGTAGCTACAGGTCCTTCGAATTGTCAATGCTATGCATTGAAGCAAAAATAATATCAAAATAGCAGTTTTATTTGTGAAAAAATAGAGTTATTTGCGAAAACGTAGAGTTCGTATTAGGTTGCTAAGTTTGCTATAAACAAGCTAAAACATGAAAGGGTTCTGCAAAAGAGCCGTTTCTTAAGAGGGTCTATTTGTTTCTTGAAGCAAAAATAACATCAAAATAGCTGTTTTATTTGTGAAAAAATAGAGTTATTTTCGAAAAAAGTAGAGTTCGTTATATGTTGCTAGGTTTGCTATAAAAACAAAAAAGGGCTCTTTTCCAGTTCCCCCCTTTCAAAATACCGAGTTTTATGTTTGTTTTACGTGTTATCACGGCTAAATGCGTAATGTTACGCTGTAAAGTATGAAGAACAAATCTGTTCACAGTTGTCGATTTGTTCACTACGCCAAATTTCATTGCATTCTAACAACGTTGAAAAAAAATTTCAAAATTGAATTTGAAAGGGGGGGGGGGGGAACTGGAAAAGAGCCCAAAAAAGCTCAAACAAGCAAGGGGTTCTGGAAAAGAGCCGTTTCTTGAGAGGGTCTATTTTTTCTCATTGTCTGTACAGAAAACATAACAGAGAGTCTAGTCTTGCTCCCGATTCAAATGATTTCAGGGCTCATTTTTTAACATATCCCAACCTTTTTAACTCGCATAAGGGGTAAGTAGTAGAAAAGAGCCTATTTTCCCTCCTAACAGGCCCTTGCTATTCCCCCCCCCCCACCCCCACCAAACCTGCAAAATTTTACTATTCTGCCGACAAATCCTGAAACACCAAAAGAATCTATGAACTCTGTAATAATTTAGTTCAGAATACCATGACAGCTTCAGCATGCTCAATCTGTAAAATTATAAACATAGCCAACAGACAGTTGGAAAAAGTCAATGAACGCAAAAAAAGAAAAAATATTGACATGTTTTTTGAAAGAATTCAAAAATACTGACTTGTTTTTTGAAAGAACTTCACTTTCGAATATCAAAAAATAGGCTCTTTTTCCTCCCCCCCCCATCTGCAAATTTTTAGTAGTGAAATTTTGTTCACGATAGCCGAATGTTATGAAAATTGGTATGAGAACTAACTAGGCCATGAAAAACTTATTTGGTCTTCATCTGTAACCTTGTAAAACCCTTCGTTACACCATAGAAATAAGGTGGGAGGGGGGAGGAAAAAAAGCCCAGGCCCTTCTAAAGGAGCTCTTTTCTTCCTCCCCATCTCACAAAAGCAGTCGTTGTGGTCTGTTAAACAACGTGAACAGAATTCTTACGTATTTGCAAAATCTGCAGGTGTGAAGGAAAAGTAAAAAGAACCCCTACTAAATATTCAAAAAACAATCCAAAACGGGAAACTGAAAGGACGCTTCAATAGTTCCTCTGTTCATCTGCGCCCTGTGCAGCTGAAGTTGACCCCACTTTTATTTCACTCTCCGGAACTTCGGGGGGCAGCCTCTGGCTGGGCCTTGTGAAGCGTCGTTTTATGAACTCAGGAACCATGCTGCTTGCCAGGGACGAGCCAGACTGTCTACCTCTTTGCTCGTCTTCAGTTTTCTGGTCTTTTTCTAAAAAAAACAACAGCTTTTCATTTGTCTGAATTTTCAAAGTTCTAGAACGTGGCTCTTTTTTCTATACCCACCCACCTGCAAATTTTTTAGAATTGTTCATATTGTCAGAATGTTATCAAATTTGGCATACGGACTAATTAGGCCACGACAAACATATTTAGTCTTCATATTCAATCTTGTAAAACCACTTGTTACACCATGAAATCGATGCTTATGTGAGGTTGGGGGGGGGGGGGGGTTTGGGGGGAGAGTTTAGACTCTTTTTGATCTTTCCTGACAAATTATGGGTTCTTTTCCAGTTCCCACCTTTGATATTTCTGAAATTCATTATATGGAAGTCAATTTAAATTGACTTTATTTAATATAAACTGCATCAAAACATGTCAGCTCGATCAAGTGAACAAATTTTTACAACATTTTACACATGCAAAATGCCGTGTGAACAATTTTTCGAACAGCTTAACTGAGGGGGTGAAAAATTTTTTTTTCAATGAGAGGTAGTGAAAAAGAGCCTGAATATTTAGCTTTGCGTAAGAAATAACAGGTGTGTTGGGAATTTTTGCTCCTAACGCTTAATTTAGCCCACCTTTTGCGTTTTTGGCCTTGGGTCCTTTTTTCGCTTGAGTCTCAGCCTGCTGTCGCTGTTGTTCTTGTTGTTTTTCCAAGGAGTCGCGAGTGCAAGAATTGTTTCTATGAAAAAGATTCCTCATCTCAGCTGGTCATGTATATGTTTCATCCAAGCTGTAGAAGTTTTGCTATAGTTTCTCGTCCCAATAAAACTGTAAGCTGATAATTTTGTCGGCTCTTTTCCACCCCTTCCCCCAAGTTCAAGATTTATATTTTCTTAGTGGTTTTACGTGTTTCTTCGGCAGACTACATGATGTTATTATGTTGTAAAGTAGAGAAAGCAAATGTGTTTACAATACTTAATTTTTTAGCCCATGTCAAATTTCATTTCATAATGACAATGTTAAAATAGTTTTTCTAAGGTGAATTCCAAAAGTTGGGAAGGGGGGGGGGGGGGGGGGGGAGAGCGGCATTGCTTAATAACTACCATTAAATAGATCTTCAATTTTAAAAAGAGTATGTGAAATTAAAAACACGTGCGAAACAAAAATTCAGAGCCCTGTAACTTGAAAATAAGAGTCTTTTT